TGCGACCTGACGGTTTCTTTCTTGTCGGTTACGAAAGGTCGTGTATCTTTTATCGTGGTGGACACGTGTCGTTGCCCCATTAAATTCTCAGAAGATCGTGTGCGTCGGTTGGCGGCGGTTTCGCCTTTTCAAATTTTCGAATTTTGAATTCCTTACACGTGGCGGGATCTGATTGGGGGCCGAATCTTTATAAATAGGGCCCCTCGGTCACTGTTTCTCCTTCTTCTTATCTTCACAGAATTCGATTATGGCTTCTCAAGGAAGAGACTCTCAAGCGGTTTTCTGTTCGGACTTTTCGTTTCTATACGGTAACTGTTCAAGCGAGGTTACTCAGCACCCCTGCTCAAATGTGTAGACAAAAAGAACGCCGAGCTCATACTTAAGAAAATTCATGAAGGCGTATGTGGGAACCACTCCGGAGGATACGCCCTCGCTCATAAGGTCCTCAGACAGGGTTATTATTGGCCGAGTCTGAAAAAGGACGCCTTGGATCTGGCCCGAAGATGCGCAAAGTGTCAAACCTTCGCGCCCAACATCGTTCAACCGTCTCAAACCTTGAAGTCGATTTTCAGTCCATGGCCATTTGCCAAGTGGGGTGTCGACCTGATCGGTCCCCTACCCACCGGAAAGGGCGGAGTAAAGTCGCTGTAGACTACTTCACGAAATGGGTAGAGGCCGAGCCGCTCGCCACTATAACTGAGCAGAAGATGATAGATTTCCTGTGGAAGTCCATCATATGCAGATTCGGGGTCCCAAATTCGATAATCACCGACAACGGCAAACAATTTGAAGGGAAAAAGTTATAAACATTTTGTGAGGAGCATAATATTAAGCACTTCTTTTCAACTCCTTATCATCCGCAATCGAACGGTCAAGTCGTGGCCGTCAACAAGATCATCAAGCAGGGCCTCAAGGTCCGACTTGAAGCTGCAAAAGGAAGTTGGCCCGAAGAGCTCCCGAGCGTACTCTGGGCTTACCGCACCACTGCCAGATCGTCAACCGGCGAAACACCGTTCTCCTTAGCATATGGATCCAAGGCGATGATACCAGTTGAGCTCGGCGCCCCGACATTTCGGGTAATTAACTTCGAGGAAAAGTCCAACTCCGAATCACTAAAAGCCAACTTGAACCTAATTGACGAACATTGAGCGGGTGTTGAACTTAAGAACGCGGCATACAAAAGGCGAAGCGAGAGATATATCAACTCCCGAGTTAAGCCACGTTCGTATCAGGCCGGCGACCTGGTACTTAAAAGGGTGACGGGGCCCGACCCGGGGCCTCTCAAGCCGAAGTGGGAAGGGCCGTACAAGATCAGCGAAGTCCTCCCGCATGGGGCCTACCGCCTCGAACACCTCGATGGCACCCCCCACCAATACCCATGGAACTCGGCATTCCTGAAGAAGTTCTACCAATAGGTTTAGGGTGGTCTCCCGTAATTACTTTGTCGCTTTTTGTAAAAGAAAATGTAACTCTCTACCATGACTAATTCTGATTAGGCAGGAGTTTTTAGCATAGATCGAGTCGAAGCGGCATAATGAAACGTAAGGAACGAAGTGTCGGCCGAGACCAGTACGATGGCTTGGTCGGCACTAGCCGGGCTCAACTAGGAAGCCCGGACAGGCCTATAGTACCGCCGATTCTGAATGCAAGACCAGTCGGGAAAGCTGCCACATAATTACGTGTTGGTTGGGCCAGTACGATGGCCTGGCCGGCACAAGCCGGGCTCAGCAAAGTAGCCCGGTAAGGCCAAAGCTGCCAACCGTAAGGAATGAAAAAACGAGCTCAAGCGCATAGCTCACCTAGCCCAAACTGCAAGCCGATTTAATAAAACAGCTCGGACAGGTGAGGGGACCAAGTGATGAATCAGCGCCAGGCTCGACCACGAGCTCGGCCCCGTAATTAATAAGGCCGGGCCCGATTACGAGGCTCGGCCAAGTGATGAATCAGCGCCGGGCTCGACCACGAGCTCGGCCCCGTGATTAATAAGGCCGGGCCCGATCACGAGGCTTGGCCAAGTAACGAATCAGCGCCGAGCTCGATCACGAGCTCGACCTTGCCACTAAAAAGTCCGGCCAGGAGCTCGGCACCCCAAACGAACTTGGGAGAACTCAATAAAAAACGACAAAGTAAAAGACAAAAATCATCAAAATGAGGAATCCATTCAAAATAAAAAAGCGACAATAACGAAGTACTTAGTCCAAACAAACTTAACAAAAAACACGACAGCAAAAAGGAAAGACTAAAGCAGTTTTTTAGAAAGGCCACACACGGCCAAAACAACACAAAGACTGTAAAACAAACTTCACGGATCGGCCTCGGGATCGGGAACGGCACCAGCAGCCGCCTCGGCAGCATCCTTCTCAGCAGACTCAGGGTCAGTCTCCAAATCGATGACCGGCGGATCCCCAGCCGGGATGATGGTCATGTCCCCCCCTTCATCCTTCACTCCGGAAGTGCCGGCCCCCTCGTCGCCTGCCAATCTCGGATCCATCAAGGTGAAACCATCTTCATCTTCGCCCAAAATAGGGAAGGACTCATAGCTCCTCAACCTCTCCCCATCGGACAGGCGCCGATCGCTCGGATTCGGGCCAAAGTCCTGGAGACCGACAATAAGGTCGTCCGCCCAACCCTGACGGTGGCGCACCAGCTCCGCCTCTTCCTCGTCAACCTCGCAAATCATCCCTTCAAACTCGGCCTCCAAGCCATGCTTTGCGATTTTCGCATTCATAATTGCCCGGAAGTCCTCCAAGGAGAGGAGCCCGTGATCAAGACGTTGGAAGAGCCAAAAGAGGTTGTAAGCGACCCCGGAGTCCATGTCGGCCATCATCTCCTTCTAAAAGAGGTTCTGGACTTCTGGGTAGCTTAACTGCGGCTGTAGAGCCGCCACGTTTGCCTTGGCCCATTCCATCGCCTCCTCCCTATGGGCATCCATTTGCTCGCCCAAAGTGCGGACCCGGGCCCGAAGAGCCTCCATGTCCTGGTTGAAGGCCTTGTCCTGCATAGCCATCTCGAGAGCGTGCTTCTTCTCCAGGGACTCCTTCTCAAAAGCCCAGTCGGCCCTTCCCCTCTCCAACTTCTCCTCAGCGACCCTCCTCGCCTCCTCTAGCTCGGCCTCCCTCTCTTTAGTTTTCAGGGCCGCCCCGCGAAGAACAATGAGCTCCTGCTCAAGCGGCCTGAACTCCTTGACTTAGTCGTTCAAAGATCGGACCTGGGCCTTGCTCAAGATGAGCTCGGCATCAACCTTACGCTTCGCGGCTTCAAGCTCGCACGTCTAGGCAGCGGCGTGGACAAGTTCGACCAGCGAGCGGGCCATAGAGGCAGCCGAGTGTTGGATAATCTGCATGGTGGATAACTGTTGAGTCGCCGCCTCTGCAGACAGGGTCCACGAGATCATGGGGAGATGAGCTGCCTGCATGGTGGCCTCGGGAAGGCCGTGCTCGTTGGCAATCTCCGGAACAGCGGCAGCCTTGGCATCGATGAACCAGGTGTCGGGAAAGCCGGGGATCTCCTTGAGGAAGTGTTCCCGGATTTCGGGGTCGACAGGCAGATAAATTGAGGGGGCAGGGGTGCCGCCGGGAGCAGTCGTCTCCGGTGCAAAAGATGAACCCCCCTCATCCACCTTCTTCTTCTTCCTATCCGGGCTCCGGACCGGGGGCTCCTCGGCGCCGGTTGCTTCCTTGTCAGA